AGCAATGCTGGGGACATGTGATGCCGTGCTGGGGACACAGTGATGCTGGGAACATGGTGACTCTAAGGACATGTGATTCTAGGGACATGGTAATGCTGGGGACATGGAGGTCCTGGGAACATGAAGGTGCTACGGACATGGCTTTGCTGGGGACACGGCAATGCTGGGGACACGATGATTCTGGGGACATGGAAGTGCTGAGGACATTGAGGTACTGGGGACATGGAGGTGCTGGGGACATGGTAATGCTAGAGGACATGGTCATTTTGGGGACATGGAGGTGCTGGGGGACACGGTGACACTGAAGACATGGTAATACTGGGCACATGGTAATGCTGGGCCATGGAAGTGCTGATGACATTGTGATGGTGAGAACATGGCGGTGCTGGCACGTAATTGTGGTGCTGGACACATGGCACATGGCGATGCTTGGGACGTTTAATGCTGGGAACACAGTGATGCTGAAGACATCATGATGCTGAGGGACACGATGGCACTAGGGACATGAGGGTGCTGGCAACATGGTGCTGCTGGGGATATAGTGATTCTAGGGGAAATGAAGCTGGATGATACAATAATGCTGGGACATGGTGCTGAGAGACACAGTGATACTGGGGACAAGGTGGGCTCACAGTGGCAGGTGCAAATGAAAAGATGTTGGAAGTAGGGCTGTCCCACAGCAGTGTCTGGGGCAAGTGCTCCAGCTCTGCAGGAAGGTGAGCTGAGGGCTGGGAAGAACAGCTTCGAGGGATTAAATGCTGGGTGGGAGGAGGCAGCCCAGCTAATTATAAAGCTTGTCAGAGATGAGGTCAGATTAACAGGTCTTTTTCTGCACCATGATTTTGAAAAAGAGAGAAGAGTTCTATCCTTGGGACAGATGGGGCTACGTGGAGAGGAGGGTGAGAAGGGAAGATGGGGGCCCCAGCTACCCCAGAAATGGGCACAGTGGCCACAGCCAGGGAGGACCGCGGCTGCCCATGGCCTGTACACCAACGGGGGTCCTGGGCTGAGCCACCTGTAAGCTGGGACGACTCCTTGCCTCTGGTAAGTGCTCGGGGCCAACTTCCAACAGGCCTGGCTCTAGGAAGCATCCGCTTGACTCATCTGTGTGCATTTCTCAGCCCGACTCTGTGCAGAACGTGGGACTGGAGCCCCGGAGAGCACAGACAGGTTCTGCCTCCTGGGCCCTGGTGGAGTTGGCCAGAAAGGACGCAGGCCCAGGGGTGGGAACTGTCGGAGAAGCTGAACTGAAGATGGGGGCTCCCCAGGCTTTAGGGGCTGAGTAGAACTCTTCGAAAGAGGAAATCCAGGCCGGGGCTGCAGGGCTGGGGCCACCTTGCAGGAAACCCTTGGAGCCAGGCAGCCTGGGGGGAATGGTGAATTCCCATGTGAGCAAGAAGCAGGAGGTGAGGTGCCCAGAGCAGGCGTGGCCTCCTGTGCTGGGAATAGTACAGAAAAGCATAGAAAGCCTGTGCGGCCCTATGTGAGGCTCCTCTCCGGGGGCCAGTGGGAGCAGGAATGGACTGTGGGAGACTGGCCTTAGCCTCGGACAGCAGCTCTGAGCCCCGCTCTCCGATGATGGCAGCAGTGGCTGGGATATTCACCTGTAGGGTTTATCATGCACCTTGCACAGACTTCAGGAGAATGTGAGAGGCAGCATCATGTTTATATGAAAGCAAACCTCAACATATAATGAAGAAGGCACACAGCTTCAAACAGTGGCACCCCCTTTGGGTTAAGGACACAGAGCTCCAAGTCTCCCTGCCTGCACCCCTGTCCCTGCGTGGCTTGAAACCCATGCCTTCCACTCCAGCCCTCTCACCCAACATCTCACCCCTGGAGAGGGGGAGTCCAAGGAGGCGAGAACCCCCAGTGGCCACACAGGGAGACCTCATGAGCAGGGGTATGCTGTCTGAGCCTCCTGAGTCTCCGTCTAGCCTTTGTACCTGTGTGTTTCATGGTCCTCTCTTTATTTGCCCACCTCCTTAGAGACAAACCGCTGAAATACTATTCAAAAAGGTTCAAGGTTGGTGGAAGTGAGCAAGAGAAACAAGAGGAAGGAAAGAAATAAAGATGTATTTCCGGGTGTGGTGGCTCATGCCTGTAATCCCAGCACTTTGGGAGGCCAAGGTGGGTGGATTACCTGAGGTCAGGAGTTTGAGACCAGCCTGGTCATTATGGCAAAACTCCGTCTCTACAAAAATACAAAAATAGCTGGGTGTGGTGGCGTACACCTGTGATCCCAGCTACTCAGGAGGCTGAGGCACGAAAGTCGCTTAAGCCCAGGAGATAGAGGTTGCAGTGAGCTGAGAGTGCACCACTGCACTCCAGCCTGGGCAACAGAGTGAGACTCTGTCTTAAAAACAATTAATACTTGCTCAGTGCCAGGTGCTTTCATGTCTAGACTCATCTAATGATCATAACCACTATGCAGTGTGGCTATGGCTGCGTTTTACAGATGGGGCCACCAAAATCCAGATTGCATCCTTCACCTGGGCCACACAGGAGTAGGTGGTGGAGATGGAGTTTTTTTTGTTTTGTTTTGTTTTGTTTTTTTTTTTTTTTTTTGAGACAGAGTCTTGCTCCTGTCTCTTATACACATCTAGATGTGTATAAGAGACAGCAATGGCTCATTGCAGCCTTAACTTGCCAGGCTCCAACCATCCTCCCACCTCAGCCTCCCAAGTAGCTGGGACCGCAGGTGCACACCATCTGGCTAATTTTTGTATTTTTGTAGAGATGGGGTTTTGCCATGTTGCCCAACTGGTCTCGAACTCCTGAGCTCAAGGGATCCACGGGGCTGGAATTTGAACTCAGATCTGTCCCATGCCCAGCTTTTGTCTTTCCTTCTGTTCCATCCAAATAGATTCGCCTGCCTCTCCATAGTGGTGTGGAGCACATTCGGGGTGGGCAGGAAGCACCTCTATAAAGACGGGGAGAGACAGGAAATGTCAGTCCCCCACGCTGCTCTCTGACCCCCCTTCCTCTGACCTGTTACAGCTGCCGGAGCCCCCACACCATGAACAGCACCCCGAGGGATGCCCAGGCCCCGCGCCACCGTGAGTGCCTCCTGCCCTCTGTGGCTCGCACGCCCTCAGTCACCAAGGTCACACCAGCCAAGAAGATCACCTTCCTCAAGCGAGGGGATCCGCAGTTTGCTGGGGTCCGCCTGGCCGTTCACCAGCGCGCCTTTAAGACCTTCAGCGCCCTCATGGACGAGCTCTCCCAGCGCGTGCCTCTCTCCTTTGGGGTGCGCTCCGTCACCACACCCCGGGGCCTGCACAGCCTCAGCGCCCTGGAGCAGCTGGAAGATGGTGGCTGCTACTTCTGCTCTGATAAGAAACCCCCCAAGACCCCCAGTGGGCCAGGCCGGCCACAGGGGAGAAGTCCCACTGCTCAGCAGCTGCGGGATATCCAAGGCCGGCGTGAAGCCCCAGGAACCTCCTCCTCCCGGAAGAGTCTTAAAACCCCCCGGAGGATACTGCTGGTTAAGAACATGGACCCACACCTCCAGCAGACAGTGGTTCTCAGTCACAGGAATACTAGGAACCTGGCGGCCTTTCTCAGCAAAGCCTCAGATCTCCTGCGCTTTCCTGTGAAGCAGCTGTACACGACCAGCGGGAAAAAGGTAGGCTGTCGGGGTCTGACAGTTCCTTGAAAAAGTTCTTTAGACCTCAGGTCAAAATACTCACGTGGAAGAGGGAGATTATTCCTTAAAAAGAGGCATTTGATTGCCCTGCTACTAATTAAAGGTGAATAGCATGGAGACACTCAGTCAAGTCAATTAATCAACAAGCAGCTGTAATTCACGTTTTTAGGTACATTTAGAGAGCATGTGGGCATGTGGTAAGTGGCAGGCATTGTGCCTTGCATACTCTTTTTTTTTGAGACGGAGTTTAACTCTTGTCGCCCAGGCTGGAGGACCATGCCGCAATCTCGGCTCACTGCAACCTCTGCCTTCCGGGTTCCAGTGATTCTCCTGCCTCAGCCTCCAAGTAGCTGGGATTACAGGCATGTCCCACTATGCCCAGCTAATTTTGTAGTTTTAGTAGAGACAGGGTTTCTCCATGTTGGTCAGGCTGGTCTCCAACTCCCAACCTCAGGTGATCCACCCGCTTCGGCCTCCCAGGTGATCCACCCGCTTCGGCCTCCCAAAGTGCTGGGGATTACAGTTGTGAGCCACCACGCCCAGCAGCCTTGTGTACTCTTATTGTTGTCTTATCCAGTAACCTATTATTGCAGGAGTTCAGTGCAGGAAACAAACTACTCAAGATACCTTAAGTAGAAAGTGATTTAATACAGGGCATTGGAGGGCTTCATCTCTGGGAAGCCAGAGAGTGAATTGGAAGCTGGGTCTGCAGGAATGGCTCCCAGCACGTGCAGGAAGCTACTACCTCTGCTGGAAGCTGCTATGATTATTGAGTTTAAGGACATTTGTGAATGTAATTTTTGCCTTTCCAGGTTCTGCAGAACATGAATTTCCACCAAAGGTGGGCAGAGCAGAGGATGGAGGTTGACTGATCTAATTCACAGTCTCCTCAAGATTCAGTCCTGTTGCTACTCAACATCTGTATGCACCACTCCATCAATACTTCTTAAACATCACATCACCGGGCATGGTGGCTCACGCCTGTAATCCCAGCACTTTGGGAGGCTGAGGCAGGCGGATCACCTGCGGTCAGGAGTTCGAGATCAGCCTGGCCAACATGGCGAAACCGCATATCTACTAAAAATACAAAAATTAGCCAGGTGTGGTGGTGCACACCTGTAATCCCAGCTACTCAAGAGGCTGAGGCAGGAGAATCGCTGGAACCTGGGAGGCAGAGGCTGCAGTGAGCCAAGGTCGCGCATTGCACTCCAGCCTGGGTGACAGAGCCACACTCCATCTCAAAAAAAAATCATAACATCATTACAAAAACTTCATTATAAACATCAGCTACAGCAACATGCCCTCATGTAGTAATAGAGCTCTCCCTCCGACAATAAAAAACACATTCACCTTCTCCCCACAATCACATTATCACTGGACCCTTCTATTCTGTGACAACCTCACCTTGATATCATCTGTCTCAAGGTCTACTTATGTAGTTCAGCACCATCAAAGTACCCTATGTTAAGTAGTATAGGAAATAAAGAGCAAAGAAAAGGGAAATTGATTAATATGTATACCTAGCAGAGTTGTGAAAAAAATTAGACTATCTACTGCAAGGCCATCGTTGGTGTTTAAAGCTTCTTTCCACTCTCCACTCCCTGTTCCTCTGTCTCCCACCAGCACCCCAGCTGATTATGGTTATGTACTTGGCAGAATGACCCAACCATATTCCTCAGGGGTCTGAGCCTTTGGGGTTCCTCACTACATGGGGCTTCCATGGTCTTCTGTTCATGTTTATCCCTGGACATGACAGCCAATGGGCTGCGCGGGGAATAGATGACTTCCTCCCTGTCCCATTGTGTAATAGTAGCCCTATTTCCCCCTTGGACAATCAGAACCAGCCACCCCATCCAACACAGAACCTCCTCGTTACCTATTGGTTCATTGTCATGAGAAGCCTTGTACGTACCAGGTGACCATCTCAGCTTTCAGCTCCATGGGGCCACTGTTGTGTCTTCCTTTTTTTTTTTTTTGAGACAGAGTCTCACTCTTGTCGCCCAGGCTGGAGTGCAGTGGCGCAATCTCGGCTCACTGCCACCTCTGCCTCCTGGATTCAAGCAATTCTCCTGCCTCAGCCTCCTTGGGATTATAGGCATCCACCACTATGCCCAGCTAATTTTTGTAATTTTAGTAGAGATGGAGTTTCACCATGCTGGCCAGGCTGGTCTCGAACTCCTGACCTCAGGTGATCCACCCGCCTCGGCCTCCCAAAGTGCTGAGACTACAGGCATGAGCCACCGTGCCCAGCCCACTGTTGTGTCTTCTAAGGGGGAACATTCTCCCTTGGGTCCTGAGACCTCCAAACCCACGCCATAACCCATGCAGCTTACTTCTATCCAAAGAACTAATTTTGTAGCAAAAGAAGTGAGACAGTGGACTAACACCCATGAAATTCACTGTATAGCTTGCAGAGACTGAAACTGCTGGGATGGAAAGCAAAATGTTTGCAGTGAGGTCACAGGTGTAGTAGACTAAGACACAGGTGTGCTAGTCGCCAGAGAAACAGCACTATGTATCAGTTGCCAGTTCAGAGCACATATCACATTCTGTAAGACGACACCCCAACATCATAAAGTGATGTCTTCCAGCTGCTGTCCAAACTGAATCTTCCGTAGAATATTCCATTGTTCTATAAGTTAGAGCTACTTTGCATGATGGGGTACATGGCCACACAGTGAGTTTCATGGGTGTTAGTCCATCTTCTCACATCTTTGCTATAAAATCAGTCTTTTGGGTGGAAATAATCTTCATGGGTTTTGGCAAGGATGAGCAAGGCGTTCAGTGAGTCCATGGAGGGTGGAGAAGGATGATGGCCAGGTGCAAAATCTACCTGTGAAGCAGGATTACAGTTGGCACAGATTGCTGAATGCCACCAAATCAGAGGAGTTCTTTCCACCAGGGGTCTGGCTGTATCCCTCAAGGTCTGATATGAATCATTGGTCTCTGCTTTTAGCAGATCAGGCCCCGAGCAGAGGTGGCAGCCAAGTTTGCTTGAATGGAGTGGAGCGTCTGCTGCTAGTTGATGCTTCTGTGCCACTTTGTTCAGGAACTGCCTGAGCATGCCCTGGGGTGGCTGAAGGAAGAGGATGATTGACTCTACAGAGCTGGTCAATGTATCCTCAGGATTTTCACTTTTTGGTAAACAACCACATGGGACACCAATGTTCTTACCCTCTAGGCCAGTTCTCAACGATCCATTCACAGGTCCTTCTCTGGACTTCCTGTCACCCATCCTCCAGTCCCCTTCCTTTCAAGCCCCTTGATTGTCAGATTTAACTGCTAACCATTGCCCATAAATTGCTCTAGAACCTCTTGCCATTGCTTCTTCTGAGTAGTCACCAAATCACACTGTCTCCTGGGTTTCCCTTCCCCACTGCCCTTCATGGCCAAACCGGGTCTGTCATGCAGCAGTCAACTCTTGGTCATGTCAACATACTCTGTGCAATCATCTGAAAGCCAGAATTGAATCTTTTCTTCTTCAGTTAGCTGGGAGGGGGAATTTCCCAGGAAGTCATAGGTGGATGCAGCAGGAGGAGATGAGCTGGGGTGTGAGCCACCTTCTCGAGCAACTTAACTGAGGTCTCAGTCAAGCTTCTTGAGACTGATCTAGTCCATGTCATCTCCACCTGGTGATCAGGGACCACTTCTGCACACCACCCCTGCTTTGTGGCTTGATGGAACAGCTAACACCCAGTTCAGTTGTCTTTCAGCCACCAGCAGAAGCAGTTCTGCATTTGAGTTTTGACAAGAGCAAAGAGACTCTTTGACAGCAGTTGCAGAAGCCCCCAAGTCCTCTGGTCATCCTTGAACCAGGGCTTAGACCTTGAGCTTGCCATTTTTCAAAAGTCAGAAGCAGCCAGCCCACTCCATAGCCCTTGCAGCTCTTACTCTCATTGTAAGAGGCTATCCCGGCAGCCAGTGGAGGGTCAAAGTCCTATTCTCAGGAAGCACTACTTTCTACTATCAGAGGGACCACCTAAGAACCCTTTTGTCACTGTGTGCCATGTGCTATGAGTGTCCCATTGTCACCAGTTTATCACCACCTTCAAATCAACCAGATGAGAACACAAATCCCAGATTCCTATCCTTGAAGGTTCATTGCCTGCAGCCACCTCTGATGTGATACACTGTATCATCCATGCTTCAGTACAGGAAACAGAATCCTCTCTCAGCATCTTTTTTTTTTTTTTTTTTTTTTTTTGAGATGGAGTCTCCCTTTGTCACCCAGGCTGGAGTGCAGTGGCGTTATCTTGGCTTACTGCAACCTCTGCCCCCTAGGTTCAAGCAATTCTCCTGCCTCAGCCTCCCCGAGTAGCTGGGACTACAGGCACCTGCCAACATGCCCAGCTAATGTTTTTTGTTTGTATTTTTAGTAGAGATGAGGTTTCACCATGTTGGCCATGCTGGTCTTGAACTCTTGACCTCAGGTGATCTGCCCACCTTGGCCCAAAGTGTTGGGATTACAGGCGTGAGCCACTGTGCCCAGCCCTCTCTCGGCATCTTAAGCAAGAAGGAATTACACTCAGAGGGTTTGATGCTTAGAGATTCAGTGAAAGGCTGGAGGAGCGCAGGCTGGGTTCCTGGAAAAGATTCCCAGAATGTCACAGACCGACCTGTCCGGGATGTCTAGGAAATGAGGAAAGTGGGTTTGGGGGGTTGCCTCTGGAATGACTGAGCTCTGAATTACCCCACCATTGCTGGGATCCCAAATGGGAAGATGTTGGGTACTAGAACAACAAGGGCGTCTTTTGATATCTCAGCGGCACACACCTCTCTGCATTTTTGACTTCCTTTTGCTTGTGGCAAGAGTCAGGAACAAAAGGAAGACGGCCCCTGCTTCACTGCCGTGTTCATGCCCTGTGCAAGTGCATCAGTTCGTGGGACTTATTTCGCATTTAGATCCTAAGCTGTGAGCGAGTTCAGGAAATGGGCTGGCAGCTTTCTAAACTCTGCAGTACTGGGCTAGGTGCGGTGGCTCACACCTGTAATCCCAGCACTTTGGGAGGCTGAGGCAGGTGGATCACTTGAAGTCTGGAGTTCCATACCAGCCTGGCCAACATGGGGAAACCCCGTCTCTACTAAAAATTCAAAATTAGCCGGGCATGGTGGTGTGTGCCTGCAGTCCCAGCTACTGGGAAGACTGAGGCAGGAAAATCGCTTGAACCCGGGAGGTGGAGGTTGAACCCGAGAGGTGGAGGTTGCGCCACTGCACTACAGCCTGGGTGACACAGCGAGGCTCCATCTCAAAAAACAAACAAGCATACAAAAAAAAAAAAAACACCATCGAAACCAAAACGAAGAAAGAAACCTGTGCAGTACTGGAACGCACACCAGAAAGACAGTGGGATAGAAGCAGCTGGTCTGGGGCATAGCGTGCACCACACAAACTCATGAGGTAGCTGATATTACTATTATTAATTTATTAATTACTATTACTAATATTTGATTCAGGGTCTGGTTCTGTTGCCCAGGTGTGAGTGCAGGGGCACAATCTCAGCTCATTGCAGCCTCAACCTCCTGGGCTCAAGTGAGCCTCCCATCTCAGCCTTCCAAGCAGCTGGGACTACAGGCACATGCCACTAAGCCTGGCTAATTTTATTGGGTTTTTTTGTTCGTTTTTTTTTTGTTGTTTTTGAGATGGAGTTTCACTCTGTCACCTAGGGTGGAGTGCAGTGGTGTGATCTCGGCTCACTGCATCCTCTGCCTCCGCCTCCTGAGTAGCTGGGATTACAGGCACCCACCACCATGCCCGGCTAATTTTTTTTTTTTGGTCTTTTTAGTAGAGATGGGGTTTCACCATGATGCCCAGGCTAATCTCAAACTCCTGGGCTCAAGGGATCTACCCGTCTCGGCCTCCCAAAGTGTTGAGATTACAGGCATGAGCCACTGCATCTGGTAGCTGATATTATTATCCCCTTGGGACAGATAAGAAAAGTGAGGCACAGAGGTTAAGTAATTTGCCCCTAGTTGCATGGCTGGCCAATGATAGAGCCAACATTAATGCTTGGAAAATGAAAAAGAACAAGCTCTGTGCTTTAAAGATGGAAATACATCCCCAAGCATTGCTAATTACGATGTAATGCAAGGATGCTTTGAGTTAGTGTGCATTACCGTGGACTAGCATGTGCCACATAAACAGACAAATGAGACGAGGTCCTCACCTTCAGTTAGCTGTAGTTTAGTGGGTGCGGTGATGGGGAGAGAGCTGGTATAACATGAGTGAACTGGAGAAAAAGACTTCGGATATTTTCACCTAGACTTATTGCAGAGCTGTGAGAGTTTCTGTAAATATAATGACCTCATTTCTCCCCAGGAAGGACTGCGACGTGATTATCAACTTTCAGGTTCCCTCCTGGATAGTTATTCTTGAAAATGCTCCTTTTCCTGTAGATTTTAGACTTCTACCTCTCCCTAGGAATGGGAGCATCATTTAGTCTTCAATTTTTTCTTCTTCCTTGGAGAGTTTGATTCCCTAGAAGCATGGCTACATCCATGAATTGATAGACTTGGGTCATGTTTGAAATTTTTGATGGACTAGGAATCTAAATCAAAGAAGAAATGGACCTCGTCATTTAAAACAAACTTCTAATTACCTAGGCTGAAAGAGCTGGTGCACAACAAACTTCTATGACATTTTTTGGGGAAGAGAATGTAATATTCCCTCTTTTTTTTTTCATTTTTTTGTTAATGAGCATATCCTTGTAATTTTAGAGAATGCAAAAGAACATGCTCTGTGCTTTAAAGATGGAGTACATTCCCCAGCATTGCTAATTACAATGTAATCCTATCAGTAGTGCAAACCCTCAGATCTGCAGGTGTCTCTGGGTCCAGGAACCTGTTTCCTGCAATGGAATCCTGCCCTGAGCCTGCCCTGAGCCCAGGAGTGGGCAGGGGACATTCTGATGGGTCTGGGGAGGGTCAGGAGCCCAGAGACCATTGCGGGAGTCTGGAAGGGAAGGGGTCCCTGTAGGAAGAGTGGTGCCTAGCCCCTGTCGCCTCCACTTGGGCAGAGGCAGGGACAGAGGCAACGGACTCAGATTGTACCAGAAAACACAGGTCGGGCAGCACAGAGGCTCCTCCATTTGGGAAAAGGGTGAGAGTGAATCGGGCCCCACTGTGGGAGCTTGAGGGCATGCTGCTCCAGTTGCTTCAGGGAATACATATTCTGGAGGGTGGACGTGTGGGCAGAAATGCAGCCTACAGAAGTCTTTTGCAGCAGGGGCATCCAGAGTGCCCTTTGATCACAGGCCTCACACGTGGTGGAAGGAGGGGTGTAGGTAGAGCAGGAGATCATGGTGGTGGGACCTCAGCGTCCAGCTAGTGATGGAGGTGTTATGGGGAGTGGATAAGACCCCTCCTTGGACCAGGAGTCTGGAGTGAGATGTGCAGAAATCAGGACAGGGCTGGTGAGACTGGATTCTTCCTCCCCCAGGCCTCAGGGTAGAGGGGTTTCTGCAGCCCAGGCCTCCTGACCCCGCCCGCTCCTCCCTCAGGTGGACTCGCTGCAGGCTCTGCTGCACAGCCCTTCTGTGCTGGTGTGTGCCGGGCATGAGGCCTTCAGACCCCCAGCCATGGAAAATGCCAGGAGAAGTGAAGCTGAAACTTTATCTGGGCTGACTTCAAGAAACAAAAACAGTGAGTTGGTTTTTGGGTTTCCCCCATGTGATTTGCACTGGATGGTGGTTCAGTAGGGTTGAGTGGATACCCTTCCAGGTAATCCAGGAAACTTCCCTTTGGCCCCAAATCTCGGGTATCCCAGTAATTTTGGGATGTCTCTTGCCTCTTCCTCCTTCTCAGTACTGTCAATCTGACTTGGGTTGAACATTTGACCAAGATAGGAGAGGACAGTGTTTGGTATATAAAAGGAACAGAGGTTGGGCACGGTGGCTCATGTCTGTAATTCCAGCAGTTTG